ACCCTCCTCGCTCCGAGCACCGTTTGTAAACGCTCCTTCGGAGTTTACATAGGCCGCACGTGCCCCGTAAGCCTTTCGTCGTTCACAGCGGATGTTCGTCCACACAACTTCGCAATGCCGCCACCGAGGATCGAAGCCCTTTTCCCAGATTTCCGCAGCCATGTGTTAACCAGAGAGCCATGAATGTTACGTCGTATTTTCCGGTTCAGCTTCTAACTTGTTTTCCCTTTCATTCAGAATTATTTCACTTGTCGTAAAGACATGTGTCCACACTGCTAGAAGTTTTATGGAATAGCTGCAAGTTGATTGGCTGCACATTTCTTGGAACTAGAACTTGGACCAAGGAGCAAGGACACAACATACAGACCTTACGAGATCGAATAAGTCCTATTTTAGATTATAATCGAACATCATTAAACTGTTTATTGCGAGAAATATTACCACGTGCCTCAGTGATCGAATTGGTGAGACGCTCCTAGAGCGAGGAACTTTTTTTTATATATAATGAAATATATATTTTTCCGTGGGGGTTACTGGCCTTTTTCTATGTGATTTTTTAAAAACACAAGCCTGCTCAGTTACTTATTTAAAACCAAAATGCTCAAAGTACCAGAACGAACTGGATAAAACAGGCTTTAAGCCTAACACGAGGAAGGAGAATATTTAAGTCTGTTCTAACGGCAACTGCGCCTTAGAGTCGACAAATAATCAGCACGCAGTGTATTTAGTTGAAAAAAAATATATAATTTACAATTCCTTTCCGTGGCGTAAAGAGATGTGCGCGTCTAATGATCCGAAGATCCAAGTTCCAAAAATCTTTGGTTTTTATTCGATCGCCACGTCTCGGAAGGAAGGGACGACATGAAGAGGGTATTTTGCCAAGTTACACAAGGAGAAAATCTGATCTATCTGCTGTCATCAGACTGCGAGCCAAACACTTGGGAAAATGTTTAGTCAATGAAGTTCTTGTCACGTTTCCACGACGAAAAGGTCAACGGAGGCTAATCGTATGCCGTATGAATTCTCTTGATAAAACGCTCGCGTCAGACCCTCCAAATCCAGACACGAGGATGCTAAAATAGGGTTCTCGTATCAGGAAACCGACCGGCTCGGTCCCGCTTCTGGACAGCTCGGCTCGTGAACCGCGTCCGGATGAGCTCACCCCGCAACTCTTCGACGACGTAACGAGAGCAGACGGGCTCTGCTTTGTACATACCAGAGGGCCGATTTCACGTGTCGGGCCGCGGGTGTCGCGTATGAGTCCGTCATCGTATACTCTTGAGGGAGTATAAATAGGTGCCGTGCGCAAATATCGCGGTCGTTGCTACCGAGACGTGCCGCGAAAGCAATTCGCGAACGCAAGTCGAATGGTCTAATCCGCATTCAGCGACGTCTTGATTTTTACTTTCCGCGGTTGCGCACGTATAGACCGATTCGTAAAATTCGCCCACCTCCGTCTCTCTTTACCCATTGTTGAATCCTCAAGGTGCTACTCTTGTTTCTTAAAGAAACTTGTAGAGGTCTATTTCCGTTGATTCATTCAGAAACGTTTAATTCCTTGTTACTTAAAATTTTACAAATTACCATCCTCCATCGAATCATCCTCCTCTCTCGCCTCCTTTCGTTCCTCAGCATCTATTTACATTGCATCGCCCGCTTTCTTTTTCGAATAACCCTGCTGTGTTACGTTCCTTTTTGCGTTACCTTCATACGTTAGGCGTTGCGTTTTTATTTGCTCCAATCTTTATTTTATACCTAGTTCTAGCAGGTAGGCTTTGTAACATTAGCTTTCTGTTGGTGCCTCACCTTTTGCTTCCGATTCTCAATGTTACCTCTCTTCACTGTATCTCACTTTTGCAGCAATAAAATTAAATTTACTTTAAAGCAAGTTAAATGTAATTAGTCTTTCTTCTGATGAAATTATATTACATTTTTATCAGAAGAAATCTCGTGAAGAAAATACCTGTATTTTTACAGGTATTTTTAAAAATTGTTGAATAGGAATTTTTAAAGATATTTTCTGTTTGAGGCATTGAGACATAGGCTTCTAATTCATTAATAAGTCAGCGTTTTAATTTGTGTTAGTCGCTAAGATTTTAACATTCGGAATTGAAAAAACCGAGCTGCTACTCGTCGAGGAAAAAAATCAATTTCAAAACGATCGAAGAATCCTTGAGTGAAAGGAACGACAAAGGTGGCGGGACATTCCGCGTACGGTTTGTTGCTCGCATCGACCACGATGCCAAGTCTATCAATCACGTACTCGCTCAGTTTTGTCGTTTCTCGACGATTAAAACGGCGGTCGTGGTACAGCGAGTCATAAAAATCTTCATTTTCCTCCCGAAACGTAGATTTTAATTAATATACATATATTTTTAATAGAGTTACGGGGCACTTTTCCCAAAATATTGCAGTATGCGCCAATTAATCTCTCTCGATTGACATAAACATTATCGAAAAATAACAGTCCGACGCGACAGAGATTAATGAGCTGTAAGAAATGAAGCCGAGCACACCGAGCAGTCATTCAATATCGACCATTCGAAGTCAACATCGAAGGGAGCTCTATATATAAGCACTTTTATGACTCACTATACTGCATGTAACATTATGCACATCATTTAACATAATGGATGGCACTTGCGCTTTTCGCCGTTATCTCGGCTCACCGTTGTCTCCGTTTCTTATTTATTCCGGCGTCGTTTCGACGACGCATTTCCGGCTCCGGGAATACGGGTCGCGACCGGTCGAGACCAGGAAGAGACGCGGTTTCCCGTGGTCCCCGTTTTATTTGTGTGTTACGGTGCCGCTCCTTAGCGGTACACATTGTTTGCACATCGGCAAGTTATTGTTATGCGACAGCCGTTTTCTTACGTCGAGCGAATCGACCCGCCGCGTCGTCGCTTGCTCTTTCACCTAAGACTGAAATGTATCCGCTTGTGCGTCGATAAGTAACTAGCTTTCAAACAACATATTTAGTTTCCTTATTGGAATTTCGTAATACGTACAGTTGGGACCATTGTTTCCCCTCGATCTTCCAATTTTAGCCGCTACTTCTTTTAATAAATTAATAAAATTAAAGAGCAAATTATTAATAAAATAAGACAAAGCTTATTAATAAAATTAATTTAATAATAAGTGAATTTGACTAGAACTTAACTGAAAAGTTATTAAGTGAAACTGAAAACGCACGCCCTCAATTTAAATAAAATAAAAATCGCAGATACAACTTGCGGCTGTAAATAGCAAACGGAACCGCCGGCTCGTTAAGAAAATAACACCGGAACCTTTCAATTCCCGCTGTAATACTCAAGTAATTTTCTCGAGTCGTCCCTTAATGTCACATGTCATACGACATTAACGTGACACGACATTACAAACTGAATGCCGTGCTGTGTTGCGCATTGCATTTGAACGTCCAGTCATTTCCTCGCGGAATGTCGACGAATGTCAGCTTCGCCGTGCGTTTTCGCTAAACCGGACGCGAGCTGCGACAATATCTACAACTCTCGTCGTATCCACGACGATTTCTCCTCCAGATTTTACCGCCAACCCGCCGTGTCGTGCAGCATATACAGGGTGTTCCAGGAGGAAAGCGTCTGGAGGAAATCTGAACGAGGACGTCAACAAAATGTGCTCCATCTCGGAAACAGTGGGGAATGGGACGTATATTCATATGAACATTTTTGCTTAAAATGGCCGATACTATCACCGCCCAGAATATGGACCTTTCCTCCTGGGACACCCTGTATAAGACGGCGATACGCGGGCGATCTCGATCGTCGTGGTGGACGATACGTTATCACGACACGCGCCGTCGTCACCGGTTAAATGCGGAACGGGAGAAGACGCAGACGGAAACAGGGAAATATAAGAGACAAGGGATAAATCTGTTCTCCGTCTTCTCCGCGCGTGGGCGAGTCCGGGAACCCGCGGAGTGGCCGGCTATTCGAACGAAAACAAGCAGCTAACGAGCGGCAGGTCTCTAAAATCCGCGAAATATTTATAGACCGCAGCTGCGAGATCGCGGCGGATCCGATCTCGCAGCGGTAAAAACTCTCGCCCGGCTGTGATCGAGTTTAAAAAAAAAAAGTTATTTCTCGTCAAATCCGCCCGAAAATTCGGGCTCCATTTTGGCCCCTCTCGCTTCTCGTTAGAAGACTCCCTCCCCCTTTTGCAGCTTTGTATTTGTAATTAGCTGACAATTGCGTTCTCGCATGCATTTCCTGCCGTCCGTATCCGATTTCGGGGCATTCGGGGTCTCCCTCTGCGCGCCAGCCCCTCGCGATTGCAGTCCCACATGTCTACGGCCTTAATGGTGATTTTAAGCGATACTTTCTCGCTCCCCCTGGAGAGACCCGCATCGGCCTTCGCTACCCTGAAATCGTTAAACGGAGCGCGTAGGAGATGGGCCGCGCCGCGCGAACAGCTGTGAAAATTGACTTTTCGGCGAAGCGTAAACGGCCCGCTTGCACCGTGATTCCGTCGACGGACGTCTTGTTCCCGCCGCGCGAACAGTCCCTGCGGTTACCCTGCGGACGAAACCCTCGGACTCCACCCGACACCACCCTTCTCGTCTTCGCGTCCGATCTCTTGCCCGCTACCGAGCCCTTAAGTATATTTGCTCGGGGTGGACGCACATAAACAACATTCGTGTTCCCCGCGTCGAATGTCCTCGGCCGACGGATATAAACTCAGGCTCTCCGCACTTCGGGTAAACGAGCTGGCTCTGCCAACTGTAGCGTGATCATTCTGAAATTTAAGTGTCCGTGACTAACTTTATAAAATCGTGAGGAAATTCTCTCTCAAAATTATTAAAATAGACGGCGACGCGAATGTAACGTTGGATATTAAACGTTATTTCATAAGTTATCATTATATAATGTAGTTATTAAGTAATAATGAGATAGCGAAATCATTTTGACGAGACCTTCCGAACCCTACGAGGAGCGATTATTAATCCTTCTCTCGCGTTAATTTCCCCGTTGTTCTCGTTGCAGACATCGCCATGGACTGGTCGGACCACGCGCTTTGGTGGCCAGAACGGAATCACTGGCTGACGAGAACACGCAGCACCCTGGACCAGTACGGCGTGGCGGCGGACGCGCTGCTGCATTTCACGCCGATGCACAAGACCCTGAGGGTGCAACTGCCGGACATGCGGTGCCTCGATTGCCGCGTCGACTTCTCCGTCAAGACGTTCAACGCGGTCATCAATTTGTGCAAGGAACTCGGTGAGTCGCGAACCCATTGACACCGTTTACGGAGTAACGGCGATGGAAGCGAGCGTGTGGCAGAGCGGAGTCAATCGACCCGGCGTGCCATCGTTAACGACGATTACCAGGAATGAGAGAAAGAATTCATTAAAATAAAGAAATCAAACCAGATAAAATAGAAAGTTAAAAAAAATACTCTAAAGTCTATTATGAAATCTGTAGACTTTAGAATATATTTTAATCTTTTTTATTCTCAAATTAATAAATTTCGTATGGCTCAAATGTGATAAACACAAATTTGAAGGAATAAAGGACCAAGAGCCGTGACAGAGTGTTAGCGTCTGAATATTTCATTCTAAATTTATTGCGAAAAAATATCACCTCAGCCAGGGTTTTTTTATTCTATTTTATCTGGTTTGATTTCTTTATTTTATTTATTTGATACTATAATACATCCGGTGACTGGCTGTCATTGTCCTAATATCTCATTGCTCTAATTTTTTAATATTGGAGCCTATTATATTGAGAGAAAGTCAGCCGATTGGAACTGTACATAGATAGAGGATGTTCATTGGAAAAATTTTGCGTCTCTTTTACACTCGGCGTTCCTCCGTCGTGGAGAGAATTCGCCTCGAGAAAAACCTCGAGGGATACTTTGTGTATACATTTCGACATAGTATTACGTAATCCGTTTTGCAACGGCAGCCTGGCCGCGTCTATGATTATCCTAATGGCTTTACGTCGTGACTTTTCGGTGGCGAGCCGATTGAGCGACAAATCTTCTCATATTACGAAATCGTTTGCCATACGTTTTCAGGCGCGTCGAGAGTTTATTTCACTTCGCCGCGAGTTTTGTGCACTTATTATCAACAGATAAACCGGCAAGGGTTCGTCGTGGCGGACGCATCGCGGCACCGAGGTGGATAAGCGTGCCAATGGTAATTAATATTGCACGCGGCAACGAAATAGAAGCGATAAGGTCGCCTTTGTCACGCGAAGGTCGCGTAAACCGTCGCGGCTGTCGATTTCGTCACCGCGGCTCGCTTTTTAATCAAGGAAGTGGGTTAACGCGATAATTCCACCGCGAGGATAAAGCTGACTCCCTGAGTAGGAGGAAGTACCGCTCGGAGATACGAGCTTATCGTTCTACTAATGACCTAAAAATGATTTTGCGGCACAACGTTGTCTGACAACAAGACGACGCGGCCGCTGATGTCTTACGGCCTGAGCAGACAGATCGTCGTGAGTGTTTACGATTCTGTCGTAAGACTTAAGTCGGTGCCGGAAATCAACGCACAGACAATTGCCGTAGACGTATGTCGCATTCATCGCAGAGCGACAGAAAGATTGTCGTGAGTGTTTACGATATCCTCAGGCCCTTCACTTTAGCTCGTCCCAAGCTCGCTACCGCGCTTTCGCACGTCTGACGGTGGTTCTGTTAAATGGGCATCGATATGAGATCAGTGTGTCATATTCATAAATAGACTCCAATCGCGTTGCACGCAATCTTCGTCCGTCAATTACTCCATTTCCTTGTATGAATATGGGGAATGAATGTCATGATTGTTTTCACCTCGCCTTTGGCTCCTCCCGCTGAAGCGAGAGATTCTCTTCCTATCTCCCTTTTCGATTGAACGGACTCGAGATTAATTAACGCGCATTTCCTCACGATCGTCGCCGCAGGCATTAGACACCCGGAGGAGCTCTCGTTCTGCAAGCCGCTCGAGCCGAATCACCTCAAGTACAATCTGAAGGATCTGCCGGTGAAGAAGAAAATCGAGAACCAGAAGAACGGGCACTGGAACGTGCCGGCCGACACGAATACCTTCATCCCAGCCAGCCAGAGTCCCAGGGGATCCACGGGAAGCTTAGATCAATCGAGCCCATTCATGTGCGCGCCGGTTACGCCTAACAACAGAAATCACAGCACGCCGATCAGCTCTCCCGTCTCGGTAAGCTCGGTCGTACAGGCAAGACCGTTCTTCACCCTTTCGTTTCCACTAGGTGGCCGTACGGCTATACATGTAGAATAAAAAATATTAACAAACTAAGCATGTGCACAAGTGGAACCCGATATTTCAACATTTACGGAAGTTTAGAGAGTTTGCGCACATGACCACAGACATTTTCTTAAAATTGTATTTTTCGACATGTTTCTGGAAACATTTTAAACCAATTGGCATTGAAAACTCGAAAACAATTTTTCTTACGAAAACAAAGCTTCCTCCACGAGGAAGCGAAAAATAAAATTTATGAAATACTGCTATCTGTGTACTTTCGTATATTTGCTTTATTAAACGTGTATTAATTCCTTTCAATCTTGTGTGGATGATGTGGAAGCCTTTAAACTTGTGCATATAACACGTACCTCTTGATAGAGATTTAACATACTTCAAATAGAGATTGTTATCTTTCATTTGTTGCCGTTCGATAAGAGTTATTATAAATATAATAAGAGCTTGCAAAATTCTCGACATAATCCGTAGACGTTTCCGAAACGACTTTGATGAATATCATATTATCATGTAATACGCGAACGTATGGAAAAATACTTCTTTTCTAGCTGTTAAAAATAATTTGAAAACTAAATGAATTTTACGGAGTGCACGATCGTGATATGATGAACGACAGATATTAGTTCCGTAATAATTGGACATATCTAATTATCGATTACAATTTGCAACGACCCCTTTATGTCACTGCGCACCTTGCAATCTTACGCTCGCAAATTTCCAGCATACCGGCACGTGGAAGAGGAACAACAACTCCTCCGGCTTCGGCAGCACCGGCTCCTTCAACGCGAACAACAGCACTATGAGCCTCGAGGCGTTGAACGGCGGGCTGACGGAGTCCCTGGCGCAGAGCCCGACGTCGATCTCGCCGGAGGTGCGGGTGAAGCTGATCAAGCCGAAGAGCCTGATCGAGAGGGCGAGAATGAACGTCGCCTGGCTGGACTCCTCCCTGTCGATCATGGAGCAGGGTATCCGCGAATTCGACACGCTCAGAATCAAGTTCAAATTCTACTCCTTCTACGACCTGAACCCGAAGACCGACGCGGTGCGCATCAACATGATTTACGAGCAAGCCAAGTGGCAACTGCTCGCGGAGGAGATCGACTGCACCGAGGAGGAGATGCTGATGTTCGCGGCTCTACAGGTACCCGTGCGACCACATTCCCGGCGGAAATGATCATTAACGCGTTGGCTGTCATTCGCGAATGCGTAGCCAAGCGACTTGCAACTTTTATCGAATAGCAGCAAGTTGATTGGCTACGCTTTTCTCGAAACTAGAACCTGGACCAAGTTCTAGCACCGTGAGCACAGGCCTTGGCATCTGCCATTAAAAAGTTTTAAGCGCTCGTAGAAAAGAAACGCTGTCTGATGTCAAATATTAAATGTCATGGACAGACCGGCGTGGCAAGAATCAATATGGAAATTCGCTTATAAATGTACGACAGATGCAAATGTACCGCGCAGGCGGATAGAGACATTAGAATAACATTCGTATCACGGTTTTCGACATTCCCTCCATTCTTTGCGACCACACGACTCACCGTACCGGTTCGTTCTCGCCCGTTCACGACATATTTACGCCGCTCCGTCGCGAGGGAGGAACCCCACGCGACGTATAATACATGCAAATAGCCGCGCGTCCTTGAACCGATTGCTCCGCCAGCCGGTGTTCCACCGTAGCCGCGATGCCGTCACGCGACAACACGACCAAGAAAAGATGCGATCGTTTCGCCTCGACCCACAAAATGTGTTTTGTACCTCTTGCACGCCTACTTTCCCCGTCCTCGCGACAAGCGTCGAACGGAGAGAGAAAAGGGGGGAAAAAATAGGAAATCTATACGGCGCCGATGTTACCTACGCTTCTCCGTTTCAGGTACAAGTGAATCTTCAGGCGAGCGTGCCGCAGCCCACGTACGACAGCAACGGAGCGACTTCCCCGGTCGAGGATGATATCGACGCGGCCTTGACGGATCTGCAGGTGACCCTGGAGGGCAGCAACATCAGCAACGGGCCCAGCGACATTACGCAGGTGCCCGAGCTCTGCGACGAGCTGCGTTTCTTCAAGCCGAAGCGGTTCACGTTGAAGGCCTTCAAGCGTTATTGGTTCACGTGCCGCGATCTCCAGCTCAGACTCTACAAGAGCAGGGAGGAGACGGGCGGCGCGGAGTCGCCGGTCTACGTGATCAATTTGCGCGGCTGCGAGGTCACGCCGGACGTACATCTGTCGCAAGGTCGCTACGGGATCAGACTGGAGGTACCCAGCGCCGAAGGCATGACCGAGATGTGGATACGATGCGACAACGTAAGCGGATTAACTCGCGTTAACGTGGCGAGTGATCGCCAGGCGGCAACATCATTGAATTAACAGTTCTTAAACGCGTATATATGTAACGCTTGTCACACGTTGCTGTTTGGCCACACGCCAGCACATATCGTTAATAGCACACACGTTGCGTCGGAAACAAAGTTGTCACGAGTGGCACCCAAGCTTCACGAAGTGACAAATTATATGTTAGGGCTGTTTCGATTTCCAGATACTCGCTTGAATCCGATCCCACCGCTATTCTTTATTATTCTAGGAACAGCAATACGCCAAGTGGATGGCCGCGTGCAGATTAGCGGCCAAAGGTCGTACCCTCGCCGACGCGTCCTACGAGAGCGAAGTCAACAGTATCGCAGCTTTCCTGCAGCTGCAGAGGCCCGCGCCCGCGCCGGCCATCAATCCGAGCGCGCTGGACATCGTACCGGAAGACTATGTCGCGCCTAGATTCGCCAAGAAGTTCAAGGGAAAGGTAACAAATCATTCGCATTCGATTAAGTAAGTGATCGAACCAACTAGTCACATTGATACCTCTTTTTCCCACACAGTTGGTTCAGAGGATCCTGGAAGCACACGCGAACGTTAAAGATCTGTCCCTCGTCGAGGCGAAGCTGAACTATATCAAGGCCTGGCAGTCCCTGCCGGAATACGGTATCTCACTTTTCATCGTGCGATTTACCGGCAAGAGCAAGGACGAGCTGCTAGGTATCGCGAATAACAGGTTAATGCGGATGGACCTTCACAGCGGCGATCATCTAAAGACTTGGAGGTATAATACTATGAAGGTACGTGTTCGTTTGCATATTTTCTCTGTCGTATCTTTTTGTAAACTTTTATTTGCAGACATCCCTAAACGCACTTTTTTACGGATATTTTTGGCGATCTTGAATTTATTTCTCCTTTACAAGAATATCTGTACTTCTTGATCATGGACGATTAAAAATAAAGGACTTTCCGAAAATTAAATTCTAGACCGATAAAATAAATATATCTTTAAAATTATTTTAAATAGACTACTCTGACAAAAATAATGTTAAAACTGAAAAAGTGACGAATCTCAGCCACAAATCCTTTGGAATTGACTGAATAATTTATAGTTCGAAGAAAACGCGCTTAGTAAAAAAATACATTTCTAGATATGAAAGATGAAAGTGTGCGATCTTGTCTCTTTCACAGGCGTGGAACGTTAACTGGGAAGTAAAGCACATGATGGTGCAATTCGAGGAAGAGAGTATCATTTTTGAATGTCAGTCAGCGGACTGCAAGGTTGTCCACGAATTCATAGGAGGCTACATCTTCCTATCAATGCGCTCGAAGGAGGCGAATCAAACGTTGAACGAGGAGATGTTCCACAAGCTGACCGGTGGATGGGTTTAATCCAGTACTGGCAAAGGGTGTATAAAACCGAAACGGGTTCTAACATATTCTGAGAAGCGATGATACGATGCGCTCCCACGCATTACCTGCGTCGCGCTCGTTGCGTGCCTGTTAAAGCACCGACTGTTTTTGCATGCTGGTTGACACTTGTAAAAATACTTAAATCTGGTCGTATTTATCATGTTTTAACATTGTATGCTGTAAATAGAATATCGTGGCCCTTCTACGCGCGAGCGGAAGAGTTTTAGTGACTACATTAATTTTTATTCGACAGGAGGCTACTTCAGAAAAATATTATACCGACATATTTGCCTTGTTTTTAAGGTCCTAATAATAATCGTTGACAATCGTCACAATTACGGTCTTCTTTCTACGAAAAAAATGATCTGTTTTACATTATTTACAACTGTTTTATAAATAAACGTCTGCGAAACTATTTTATAAAAATGGAAATATACAACAACACGGAATACTTTTATACGAAACTTTTTCTACTTGAAAGAATCTATCATTGAATACACAATACTGAATTTTGGGAACAAACATGTCAAACCCGCGCAAGCAAAAGCCTACGAAACATATCGCGGTACATTAGACAACAAAGAAATTTCGATAAGAAATTCTTGAAAAGAAAGTAAGCATAAAATCACTCGTGGTTTATATACTACGATTGCCCCGAAAGATTTAATCTGAAAATTATTTTCAATGCGCGATTTCTTTTTTATCGCACGAGAGACCAAATTCTTGTAATCCCCCCCTCTCATAATTGCATGTCAGTGTCCTCTTTAGTGTCACAAGGTGCTATACTAACCGAGCTCGACTTCACAACGCAAGAGATCGAATCGTGTAAATTATTTGTTATTTTAATGTAAATTAGACGTAGAAGAAATATATCACTTATACCGTTATATATTACATTCACAGGAGATACGCCGTTATATATGTAACCAAAAAAAAAGATTATAGTTTTGTATATTAATAGACAGTAACTGTATAATAAACTTATTAATGTATTCGACGGATTTTTTTAATCCCTATATTGTCGACAATGTACGATAGACAATTTGTAGGGGAAGAGTGAAAATTGATATTCGATGAAATTTCCGTCGTATTACTTCGAGTACGGGTGGTGTACATTGAATTGCAATATTATGGACTTTATTAGGCAACAATACGTTATCAACATCCGTGTAAGTTCGCATTGGTCGTGTAACCCAATGGGAAATTAAGAAAAAATATTAGTAAAGACAAGTGTAAATGTTTTCAAAAATAATTGACATTTTTGCAATTATGACATTTTTGACAGTTTCTTGTATGTTCAATTGTATAGCTCGTCGATGTGTCAATGAATTTCCTTCGCGAGTCTTCTTATCCCACGGTGATAGGCAACTGTGGATCTTTCCCCGAGGTATTTACAATCTTCGAGGACGGTTTATTCTGATTTTCCGAATTTTTGAATGCAGGTAATGCCCTCGATGCGACAGGTACGTTTCCGACTCCCGACCCGCCCAGACTACTGCCTCCACACATCTAATTGCGACAAATCGTTATGTCTCTTTAAAATAATCTTGATGCGGAACGATACAATTGTTCCTCGGATTTATTGTAAATAATGTGGCTAATTACGCGCTTAAGCTAATTTTTATATAGCAACCTCTGTAAAATTCTTTGTTTAGAAATTCTGATTATCTATCAACGAACATCTTTCATTGTGTTGATCAAGACTCCTGGTTCCTCACTGCAGGTATATTGGATTACAACAAAATTTTATCTACATTTCAAGACAAGGCATGCTGCTATTGAGATTAATGACTTATGAAAAATTCTTGTATATAATGTATAGAAAATATTTATATAATTTCTCGTTTCTATCATAATCCACCGCAGCTGGGAGACCAGGGACTTTGAATGTAACATTATAATTAATGTGGTTTGTCGTAACCGGTGTATGGCTCGGCGGCGCTGAGTGGACGAGTCTTCCGGCGAGGGAGCCCACTCTATCCTTCCTCGCTCTCACCCACTCGTGGCTCAGCACCCTCTCGAGCGTGAGTCTAAGAGTGATGTCGGGCTCGAGGATCTGCCGGACGATGTTCTTCGCCAGCGGGGACACGGTGTCGCGGACGCGGGACCTGAACACCCAGTTGCGCGACATCTGGTCCTTGAGAAGCTTCCGCAGATTCTCGTCGTCGAACGGCATCGTCCCGTTCAGCATGATGAAGAGGATGATGCCGAGGGACCACACGTCCGCCAATTTCGGATTGTACGGGGTGCCGGCGACAACCTCCGGCGCGGCGTAGGCCGCCGAGCCGCAGTACGTCTGGCTGAGGACCCGCCTGCCCTCGTGGTCCATGCAGAACCTGGCGAAACCGAAGTCCGCCAGTTTCACATTGAACTTCCGCGAGAGCAGTATGTTCTCGCACTTGAGGTCCCGGTGGGCGATGTTCTTGCTGTGCAGGTAGTGCAAGCCAGATGCCATCTGACGAAACCACAATCGCGACTGTTGTTCGGGCACCATGCCGTTGTTCTTCACGAAGTCCAGGAGATCGCCATTGTCGGCGTAGCGCATGAAGATGAAGACGCGCGGGCCGCGCTGCAGGATGCTGTGCACCTGCGCTCGACCGGTCGATGCGATTAGGGTTGCTGATGCGTTAACGGTGGAATTGGGCGAAACGTAATCAAATTGCAGATTACAATTACTATAATCGTATCGATCGCCCGCATAAAATATTTATTATAATAATAAAGTTTTAATACGATCCCCTTTCGCGTAGAAAACTTGAAATTACTTTCAATAGCCCATCTCGACCAGTTTTGAAAGGCGAGAGAGAGAGAGCTATACGAGTTAACGAGTTTCCACCGGAATCGTTCCTTCCTTATGAATTATAAAAGGAGAGGTGTTTTCCTGGATACTCTTACTTGAATGATATGCGGATTTTCTATCTTTGTTAGAATTTCTAGCTCGCGGGGAAAGAACTTGTCCAAGAAGTCGTTTGGCGCCTTCTCCTTGTCAAAGATCTTACAGGCGAGACGCATCTTCTTTGAGCTCGCTCCATCGATATAATCTGCCAGATGGACAGTCGCGTAAGAACCCTGAAAACGATAATCCCGCGTGTTACAGAACGCAGAATTTGTCGCGACACAGTCAATCAATAAAACCAATCAACGACATCAATGATTCTTCTAAAAGTCAAGAAACTAAAAATGAAGAGATAGCGATCTAGTTTAGAAGACGAGGGTTTCCGCCTCGTGGTTTTGTTCACGCAATGCATTCGCAATGGTGATAATGATTTTTTCATTTAATTTGCCATGGAGCCCGTAAATGAATACAAATTAAGAAGCAGTGCGGCCGTCGAAGTACGTCGTGGTGTAAACTGCGAGAACGGATGAAGAGGCAGGAAAACGTTAAAGCGTAGGAAAAAAGAACAGAGAGTGAACACTGAACAACCTGTCCGATCTTCTTGCCGATGAGATAGCCCCGCTGCTCGAGAGCGTTCACCTCCGAATTTCGGGGGCTGAGTCGCGTGGCCATGCCAATGATCCTTCATCGACCCCTCATCACTGACCCTTCCCCTGCCGAGAACGGGGGGCAGTCAGTCGAGTCCTCGGTCGTCTTCTCGTCCCGACGCGCGAGAGACGCTTGCAGGAATCGCCAGGAAATTTCTCTGTCACACTTTCCTTCGCGCAGACACGCGCCCGCGCTATTCCTCGGCCGGCAGTGGCAAGTTTCGTTGACGCGATTTCAGCGGTACACGAAGCATCACCGAGTACCACGACGGAATGATGCTCCTCGTTGCTACGTCGACGCTTCCGGCGACAGTGCGGATCCGTTCGGTCATTTGAGGCGGCTGCGAGCACTAGAATTTTGGACAAGCCCGGGACCAGCTTGTGCCTGGTGTGCGACGGGAGGAAGGTAAGGATCCGCGTCTCATTCGAGCGCAGCCATTGTATTTGGAAAAGTGAGAAACAATCAACGAGCGAGATCGATCGCGCGTGCGGATCTCGGATCGCTTCTCGCCGCGGAGTCGCGAGCCAATTTTCGGATGGCTAGTAGGCTAAGGTCCAGTTTCACAAACGTCGGTTAACTGTTAACCAGAGTTCAGTCATCTTCCTATCTTTCTCTATCTTGTTATCCAAGAAGAGACAGAGGATCAATTAACCATGGGTTAGCGGTTAAACGACGTTTGTGAAACTGGCCCTTAGAGTCAGTTTCCTCCTCAGAGATATATGGTAAACTTCGTCTAAGTGTATTATCTACTCCATTGCTTGATAATAGTTTTCTTAGACGATCTTTAAGTCTCGAAGATATTGATAATGTTACTTAATCATATTTTTCAATCTTTCATTTGTGATTTTATATTCGCGGACTAAGAGGAATAGAGGATATCTCGCTGACGTCGAAAAGAATAGAAGATTAAATTAAATGGACAATGATGCTGGAGCAGATAACGAATGAACGAGAATAAATATAAAAACAAATTTATAACTTTTTTTTATAGAATTGAACATATAATATATGCATATGTATACTGTTGAACGAAAGTTTACGCATGAAATTAAACAAGTATAATTATATAATTATTAAAGATTAAAGAAAACAAAAAACAGATCTACACTTATAACTTTGAAGTGGCAAATGTTATATTTTACTCACGTACAAAACTCACAGTAAAATTTCTTCAAACGTATTATACATGTATGAACCAGCTTTTACGGATGCGTTAGTAGCTACGGCCGAAAAGTGTATAAAACTTGGGCTTGTTTTTGCAACTGGGGTGAATACATTTCAACTTGTCGAGTGGCTTCGTTAATTTTGGCTGCTCAAATGGTATACACAGACTCTTGGCGCCCATGCTTAATTCTCCGCTGTCCGTGCTTTCTCTGTAATTAGTCATAAAACATTTAAATTGAGTAAGAAAGAAAAACCGCCGGTCAATATCATATTTGTATATATTTCCCTTTCAAAATTAAAGAAAACTTTAGATATCTCTTTAACAAATTTAAACATATCTAATTTTTTATATACAAACGGAGGTCTTACCTTGTACTGTCTTCTTTAATTTTATCCTCACACGCCGGTTCTCCGCAGAAAGGTGACAACAATAAATTCTTCTCATTGAGCTCGGGGTTGAATCTACTCCAATTGTCCACCTGTTTAATATGCTCCTTTAAATTGGCCCTTGCTCTATAAACACACAGATTGAAGTTGCGTATCATCAGCCATATTGCGTTATCAAGAATGTTAACGATCACAAAAATTTAAGTAATGTTTACTTGGATAGCAATGCGTCTTGCACCTGGCACATCATTTCATTTACCGCACTAACTATTTCATTCTGGCTGACAACTACTCGCTGGAAGTTATCCCTTCGTACGAGTGTTATTTGCCTCTTTTCCATATCTCTCGGACCGTATTCGATTCTTATTGGCACACCCTTCAGCTCCCAGTGGTTAAATTTCCATCCAGGTGATCGACTAATTCTAAAATCACTCTGCACTCTTACTTTCTGTTTTTTCAATATTTCGACGAACTGATCGCATTGTTTTAGAAGTTCCTTCTTGTTTGACGCAGACATGCTTGCGACTATCCCACAAGGAATCACAATGACTTGTACAGGCGCTACTTGTGGGGGTAACACTAAACCTTGATCATCTCCGTGCACCTAAATTAATTGTATATTTATTACAAAATATATAGCAATATGTTGTATATCATTTATATATGATGATAATCGTAATAACCATTATCATGACTCCAATCGTTCGTGTAGTTAATCCCCATGAATTTTGATAAACAAACGTCTTTTCATCTCCATCCGCGATACCTTCTACCTGGATGTTAAACATCTTCGAGAAGTTTTGTCCCAGATGGTGGCTAGTCGCTCCCTGTATCGCGCGACCGTTGATTGAAATAAACGCCTCGACGGTGGTGGTATAATCGCCACCCGCGAACTTCTCCTTTTCAGTCTTGCGACCTTTGATAACGGGCACCGCTAGCAATTCCTCATAAACTTTAGCGTACATGTTTAAAATGGTCAGCACTTCCTCCTCCGCTTCCTCCTTCGTGGCAAACGCGCTATGACCCTCCTGCCATAAAAATTCTCTCGTGCGTAGGAAAGGTTTGGGATCTTTAAATTCCCATCTCTGCAAACAAAAGCGGGGTAATTGGAGCGGAGTGGAATTAAAGTAGAATAAAAAAAAGCCGATAATAGATAACATTTACCACAACGTTGTTCCATTGATTGAGCTTGAGCGGTAACTCGGTGTCCGACCTCAGCCATTTGGCATAAGCCGGATACATGACAGTCTCCGAGGTAGGTCGTATAGCTATGGGCTCCGCCAAATTAGTTTCGCCGTATCTTGTCACCCACGCGACTTCCGGCGCAAAGTCCGCTACGTGCGCCTTCTCCTTTTCCAACACATTACGAGTAACGAAGATCGGGAAGTAGCATTCTTCAACACCGAGATCCGTTATGTATTCGTCAATGTATTTCTTTACTATCTTCCAGATCCCGAAACTCCACGGACGGAGAATGTAGCATCCCGACACATCATAATATTCAATCATCCCGCTCTTCGTGATAACTTGCGAGTACCAATCGACGAAGTTCTCCTCCTTCTTCGCTTCCAGTCCTAATCTCGTTCCAGTTTTGCTTGTATCTGCGTCCTTACTGTCCGCATTTTTCGCAACGTCTTTCTCCGACGACTTTCCGGGCTTAGGAGAAGTTTGCTTTTCCTTTTTCGGTGCTGCCTCCGAGTTCCCGGGCTTCCAATCCTGACCAGTTGCATTTTTATAGTCACTTTTCAAGCTTAAAAGGACTTTCACTTCTT